AACTTGCTAGGATGCCGTAAGCCGAGCTTACACAGTTGGGAAATTCTACATTAGCTGGACCGACGGGCCAATGTTGGTAGCTCAAAACCCTTCATGCATGAGTACCATGCAGGTAAGAAATGGGAAGCGGAACGAAGGAAGTTCGGGGATAATGTCCAAAAGCTAAAGCAAATGTAGCAGCTTGACGCGCAACGCAGGCTTACATGATGATGATTTTCGCGTTTTGGCGGCACGCTCATCTTGTCGTTTTATTAATATCAGGATGATTGCTGGAATGCCCAGATGCCAGGTGCTGGAGACGGCGGAGAAGATACCTCTTTAGCCAACGCTTGCCCTTTCGGATAGTCTCACCATCCAGCTGCCGATTTATTAGTATCAGTTATGTTATGCCGTGCGCATGCAACGCCTAAACAAGTACCTACATACGGTAAGTAACTTTGATATTTATTTCGCGGGCAATCGTTTTAATGGCCTCAATGGTCTCAATTGCAGCAACTATTAATGTATAGCCTACCACTTACATCTCATTTTTATGGTGCTAATATTCAGCCATATCCACCCACATCTTGAAGATTCGTTCTTTTATTTCTGTTTATATTGGCAGATAATAATCTCCACCAAACCGTAGATAGTCATCAACAATGAAGTCTAAGACTGGTAGAATGGTAGAATAGTAGACTTAGTGAGTGAGACTCTGCATTGCTATCGTGTGTACTCGAAACCGATTCGAGTATTCGAGGTCGATCAGGATGCGCTCGTGATTGTCCGGGCCGTTGCTCCACAATGTCCAGCAAAGAGTTCCGTAAGAGGTAATTTCGTGGGTGTTTATAAAAAGTGTGTATCTATGTAGTATGAAGTCGACAGGAGCTGAGCCGATATCTCCAATGTCGAAGATAAAAAGCTGTTAAAATGAAGAAGCGCCGAGAAATCGTCGGGAACTGCGGCTCACCATTTTCACTCACAAGCGCAAACCTTGTAAACACTAGCATATGGAGCTTGAGCAGGATACATGTACCTGTGATTTAGAGTTAGCAGAGTTAAATTATTAATTTTCATTCTCTTTCCGATGTTCAATTCTATTTTCCTATTCATGGTTCACGGCCGTTTCCACCTTCCACAACGATGGGAGAGAGGCTCCTGGTCTTTGAAACATTCGGCCGGGTCAAATCTTCCCGCAACTCCACCGACGCACCGATTGAACTAAGCTTGAAGCTACTGTACCTAATTATGTACTAATGTCTATGTAACGTTAGTACTAGCAGGTAGTAGGTAGGTAATGAAAAGACTTTTGACATTTGAAACTTTGAACTGGGATATAAAAAAAGTTCCTTAAAACACAACTGCGTACATATACATACATAGTACAGTATGTAGTTCAAGGTAGCCATGTCCGATCCATACTAGATGCTTGTGCGATAGTAATAAAATGCGCGATCTGTTGTTGTATTATGCCGAATCCTGTACCGCATCGTACGTATTGAATGAATCGGCATTTAACCCCGAGTAGCGAATCGTCCTTAATATCTAGGGCTACATACGCAGTCTTATAATAAGGCTATCTATGTGCGACAACATACAAGTATTACATAGGACCAAGACGCTAAGATACTTGCACACGTTTTATTAGGTTGCGTATTCTTAATGGCTTGTCAAGCTGTTCAAAGTTACCTATATTCCTCCTTTTAACTTCCACCTCCTACCCGACGAATTGGGCAAACTGTAACATCGTGGCTACATATCGGGGGTCCGGCCGGCAGCTGGCCAGCTCTGAACATTCTCAAGTATACCGATTTCAGTCGTCGGTATGTATTTTCAGTTTTCAGCTTTCGTTTTCCTAGCTTAGACGGGATGCCGGTGACAATAACAAGCACATCAACCTTGTCGGCGACTGACCCTCAAACTTCCTGGGCCTACGTATGAGGGGGTAAATGTGATATACCTACCAGACACATGTGCAATTCCAGATAAAATCAACAATACGCTACTGCGGAGCTTATCCAGCTTGGGTAACTTTACCCACGCTTTTGTGCTACCAGAGCAGCATATGTGGGTGGTAGGTATCGTTCAATGCTCCTGCTTGCTCTTTCTTGCTACTAGACGCAACATCAATACTGCGTAGTAGCATCAGTACCATGAGATGTAGCATGTATATACTGATGTACTTCCGAGTTTGGCTAGATATGAATCATCCGCAGCGCCCAGTCAGAATATTCCTGATTCAACTGTTTAATCCAAAGTCCAAAGTCCGAATCACATCATCGTCCTGAAAGCTTCCCTTGGACCTTGTCTGCAAGTTGGGATCCAACGGCCTCGGGTAGAATTCCACAGTGCCAGTTATGTTTCGATCGATAAAAAGGAACGTCTTTTTCTTTAGCATTTGACACTTAACAACCCAACAGCCAAGTTAACCAATCTATCGAGATACCAAACATACATATGTAAGGCTGAGCATGACTCCGGCTGGTTGCCAATACGAACTTGCGAATTACGGGCTGACTGGTCAAGCTCGTGATTGATGATGAGGGTAAGGGATAAATAAATTGTCGAGCCTCGTCGGATTAAAGAAAAGAGAAAGAATTAATAAGATATCATATTTTCTCTATCCCCCTTCGCGACAATTATTGCCACACTCGAAGATCTAGAGGCTTTTAGCGACGAACTATGCGTTCTGTCTACCCATCCCTAGCAACTTCCTAAGGATTATTCTCATTTGCTCATACCCCCGGCTGCCTAGTTGCCCAGCTGCTTCTTGACTAGGGTTACCCTTGCAAGGCGTCCCCCCGTTCACAAGCCCCCTGCCCTTGTCTTGCGTCTGGGCTTGCACAACCCCGGTCCACTTTCTTTTCCTCTCACCCCCTGCCCCCTGCTCTAATCGCAGGGAAATCGCAGGGACCCTTGATCTTTTCGGCCACTCTCTTCGGCGTTGCTGATTACTGTTATTCATCATCATTCGCCATCCTCTTGATCCCCATTGAATTTATGGTCGCATTTTCTTACTCTTGCTGCCCATGTAGCCCATCCATGAATGCTGCGCGCTTTCCGACTATCTTTAACCAGTCCGTTTTTATTCGAGTTCAATGTTCCATGTTCCATGTTCCATCATCTATGTACACTAAAATAATGATCCTGGGTCGCGGGGCTCTTTTCAAGATAAACCCGTATCTGGCCCTACTCAACACTTGCATACCCGCTCTTGCGTTTGCGTCTTGAGCTTTAATCCGCATTATACTCACATATGTATGCTCACATACCTCACACCCATTAACGACATTAACGCTCCCATTAACACGCACATACACATACATACATGCCTCACACATGCCGCTATACCACTTCGCGTCTTTTCTTTTCCACAACCGTTGCAACGTTCAAACGCATGGAAATCTTATAGCTTAATATCATCCTTCCCACACCCACATACATACCATGCGCACACGCACACTCACATATACAACACCGTACACGCCGTACATCATCGTTTCTTAATAGTGTTTCCCCAAGAAAGGATCCAACCCGAAACCCTTTTTTCTCCGTCAGCAGTAGCCGGTAAAAGCTTAGAGGCGCCACCTCCAGCTTCGAAGAGACAAATAGTCCAGGGCTCTAGTCAGCTACTATTATTCTAGTAGACTGGCCCGAAAGAGGTAGTCCGGCAAAGGAAGGACACCACCTGGGCAACCTTGGCTTGGCTACCCGTCGATCCACCCATCCATCTCTCTCGCACAGGTGCCGCGCCCACCAAGCTCACCCAGTCGTTATCAACTACTGTTTGTACACACTGCTGCCATCCGCTGCCACACCACACACCCCAGATTCTAACTCGCAGCCTGCCCTTGTCCTGCCCTGTCCGTGCCTATCATTGCGCTTTGCGATGGTTCTCGGAGGAGCTGCGATTCAACGACATCTGAAACTTGGAAGCAAGACAGAATAATAACTTCATCACTATTATTATTGCTTCATTCCAGGTTATATCACACAAACGCGAGCCTTGCGCGTGAAGGATAATTTCCTACGCGCCTTGTTAATTACCGTCTGCTCCATCTTGATCCATCTGGCCACAGAGCCTTGGAGTTCTCTGACTAACAGATAATTATTACCCCTCCGATCAGGAGAAGAGACCAATCCTATCCCCGGTCCCACATTGGTAGAAGAGAGCAAGGGAAAAACCATTATAAGAGCCTTGCGGACTTTATGAAGGGGGCAACTCTCTTTCGGAGTGAAAGAGGCGAAACGACAGCTGAACAAATCCGATACCAGAACCCGGAACTTAACTATTAGCTATACCTTACTACCTAAGGTATACCTAGTACTATACGATATACGCCATACAACGGCAAGGAAGGAATAAAGTAAAGAGCAGGAAAACGAGAGCGAGGAAGAGAGTGAAAAACATGAATGAAGGGCGCTTCCAATTAATATCCTTCTTCTCCTTCTATCACTACACCTTCTAGTCTTTTCGTTGCGCAAACAAGCATTACAAGCATCGCGTTTGAATTGTCGAATTTTCGAGATTTACATACGTACCTACTACACACATACTACACCCGAGATCAATCGCTTACATATCATTCGTCGACGGGCGAAACCCACTTGGTCATTACAGTCGTACCGAACTAGGTACCTGTGGCCCCGGTTATAAGTACATCATACATGCGCTACACATCCCTTAACCTACATACATCTGCGTTCCACCTACATTTCTCGGGTACACTACATACACTGCTACATATACTACATCATTACATACATAGCGTTTTTTTATATCGATGGTACCTAGGTTTCCACGGTACATTCTACATGACCTAAGGTATTTCCTAAATTCAAGACCCCCCCGACCCCCGATACGAAAGACTTGGAACTTGGGTTTGCGCCAATCTACCAACCAAATGCAAGAGTAATCCTGCATCGTTCCCCTCGAAGCAAGCACACTTTGCCATCTTTCCAAGATCTACTACCCTCGCCTCGTTGCGCGCGTCATTCACACTTCTTCCGCCCTTTTCTCTAGTCCAACTATATCAAGACACGTCGCTCTGCAGGCACAGCTTTCTCCACGTCTCTCCCGCCGCCTGACGTGCAACATCGCATCGTCGCCCGCCCGAATGTATTCCACCCAGCCTAACGGCGCTGAGGGTGCGACCATCAATCCCGCAACTATCAACCCTGCCGCTCTGAATTCTGGTGAGTAGTTCATGTCTTGATCGTCTCTTATTGCGTCTTGCGTCTTGCGTTCTTCGCGCATTTAATCCGAACCTCTCCTTTTCCATCGAACCAACCTCCTCCTTTTGCGCCTCGCGCTTTGCCATAAAGCGCCATGATATCCGTTTGCTCGATAGCTTGAGCCTTGAAGCTTGCCCCTACCCGCCCTCGCACATATCCCGCACATATCCTACCTCTTCCTCTCCCAGCCTGCCGATGATCGTCATTGTCACCGGCCTCGTCATTCACCCGTCACCTCCCGTCCCGACATAGCAAGCCTCAAAGCTCAAAGCACGCACGGAGCACAACGAGACGCGACCGCGGCTGGAACAATCATCGTCGCGATGGCTTACGTCCGGCGCATAATTTCCAAACCATGCCCCATCTAGTTTAATTGTCGCGTTGTCGTTTAGCTTCCGATTGCTAATCCGACGCCTTTTTAATTACGCAGAGCTATTGAATCCGACCTCCCGAGGTATTAAGCGAAGCCGTTCTCCGGAGTCTTATCACGACGTGCCGACGACTGATAACGCCGGAGATGATGGTAAGCCGCCCCCCGTCTTGCCTTGTGTAGCTGTTCTGGCTTATGGTTGCCGTTGTGTGCGCATCGTGGTCATGTTACATCAAGTTGTCGTGCGACAGGCTGCCGCAAGGGAGTACCTGCTAATCCCGCTCGTCGCATAACAGGTGATTCAAAGCAACCTAGAAAACGCGGCCGACCGATGAAATCGCGACTTTCTAGCGACGTCCTAGAAACAGCGAATCAATCCCAGATTCCTCCCCCTCCCCCACCCACTCAAATGTCGCAGTCAATACCGCCGCAGACTCCTCAGTCTCAAAATGCCTCGCTTCCGGGCCAGCCTGGCAACTATACCCCGGCCCAGGCGTCACCCCCGCCGAAGACCACGCCCACTAAGACGACCCTAAAGGCGTTGCCGACTGTGCGCGATCACACCACCGACCAACTTGGTCCTGGTGGCGACGAATATCTACCGCGCGAGATTGACGATTCCGGCGAGAAGAAGGTCATGCCCAACGGTCAACTCCTAGGAGGTCGCGAGTACCGATGCCGTACCTTCCTCGTACCTAACCGCGGAGACAAATTGTTCATGTTAGCGACGGAGTGCGCGAGGGTGCTAGGATATAGAGATTCCTACTTGCTCTTCAACAAAAATAGATCTCTATTCAAGATCATTGCAAATCAAGTAGAGAAGGATGATCTGGTCTCTCAGGAGATACTTCCGTTCTCTTATAGATCGAGGCAGATCGCAATTGTCACGGCGCGGTCGATGTTTAGACAGTTCGGAAGTAGGGTCATAGTTAACGGACGGAGGGTTCGCGATGATTACTGGGAACAGAAGGCGAGGAAGCAAGGTTTCACTGAAGCCGATCTTGCGGGAGAAAAGCGTCCTGGCGCATCTAAAGCCAGAGAAGCAGCTGCTGAGGCGAACAACAGCATGGCACCACTTCCGGGAGGGCCTCATGGTGAGATCGTATATGCGAATACCCCCCAATTTGCCGGTGCACCGCAACCGCTTGTTCAACCAGGTATGATGGGACCGCCAGGAAGCTCGACCAGAATGCCCATGATAACAGTAGGACCAGATCTGAACGATACGAGGACTCGAGATTACAGCAATTTTATCAAAGGCGGCCCTCGACAAGAGATCACCGGTCCAGCTTACCAGGACAGGACACAATCGAGTCCCATCTCGGAAATACACCAACAGGCGCATCACGCTGCCGAGTTTAACCGATCCGTCAACCAAGGTCGCGAGATGCGGTCCGATTATATGAACAACCTATGGCGGAGACCTCACGAGCAGCCGGCCACCAGTCAACCTGTTACCACCGAGGCTTCCCTTCCCACGACGCGTCCTGGCCAGTCGCCCCATACCGCTCCGGCAACTATGCATTCGTCTGGTATTGTGCCGAACCAGAGCCCGCAGATGATGATGACCGCGCCGCCTTACTCGCAGTCTATTCACTCCCAGCAGCCGATGAATCAGACTCCGATGCGAGGAGTACCTCAACCGTCTTCTCAGAAACAGTCGCGACCGTCCAACATCCAACCAGGAGCCTCTAGCAATATGTCACAAGGTACACCGGCGTACAACTACGGCTCTTCGAACCAGATGTGGGGACCTCCCCAGACACCGCAGACGCCTCAGCACTATCCCGGATACACGACCCAGTCGCAGCCTTCACCGCACCCTCAACAATCACCGGCTCCTCAGATGCGCCACTCGGGAGGCACTCCCCAGATGCAGCAGAGCACCATGCAGTACCATGGTATGCCAGGCATAGGTCAGGGCTATCCCAATGCCGGGCAAGGGATGTATCCCCCTGAGCAAACGCCTAGGCAGTTTATGCCCCAGAACCCTGGGCCGGGACCGGCTGTATCGTCTGCTTGGAATAACCCGCAAACCTCTGCTGGCGGGAACTGGTGGGCAAACCCGCCTCAGTGATTATCACTGGGGAAGGTTGACTCCACGGGATGAAGCGCCGGTCTGGTTGTCATCATAACCGATGCCGTATTTAAGTCACCCTCGGCACTCTGTATCTTTACACGAGGAACTCCAAATCGAGCCATCAACTTTAGTATTCGCATCATTGGGATGGTCCTTTGATTTAGCGGAGGCTATATCCCTGCTTGTGCTATTCGGCCTGGTCCGGCAATAGAGGAGTCGGAGAATAGTCTTTTGTCGCATTTCTTTTAAGGGATTCGCTGGAATCACGTTCATTCGGGCATAACAGGACCCGGAAGGTTGCGGTACTTTGATCTTTTTCGTTACATTGTGAGGTTTACAGTGAGCCGATCATTTTTGTCGAAACTCAGTTCTCGGGCGGCATTTGCATATACACTTGATACCAGCACGGCCTTTCGTCGTTTCTTACACTGTCGTCTTACAAGCTGTCATTCATTTCTACAAGACGGTTACAAATTTAGTCGTTTTGCTTTTTTTTTCAGCGATACCCCTTTACACCACAAATGCTCGCAACCCGCTTGGTTTATCAAGTCGTGGAATACATACCATCTCGTGATTAACCATAAGGCGAGATTCCGGAGGTCTAGCATACGCTTATACTCCGTTACACGATATCGACCATAAATAGGGGTCGATCCCCCAGCTTTCCGACGCACGGTCCTACTCCCTCGGTTTCCAACCTCGAGGTAACCTATCCAGGGCTGTAGGAAATCGACCGTTGATATCATTTCGAATGGTCTTGTGGGAACTCGGCCACGCACTTGAATTAAGGGCGTCGGGGATTGCCCAGCTTGGCAGCTTAGCTGTCACTATCCTCTCCTACGCTAATCACTTACATGGTCGTCGCATATGCATAAATGGCGGGGGGTACTCTTTTTTGGTTATGGGCTAGGGAGGTTTTCTGCTAATTATTTACCTATCTACGTTTCTCCGTTGTTCTCCTACCTCTGTTATTCAACCCTGTACCGCCGTTTTTATGTTGTTTGTCATGGGGACATTGGAAGCAACGCACTCAACAGTTAGTCAGCATAGGAGGAGTTTATTCTGTTTCGTATCACTGCTCTTGAATAATGTCACTGTCATCGTTTGGGCTTTGGGTTACAGTGATTGATTATGATCGAACGGATGTATTCGATCAAGGGAGACTACTAGTCCTGTGCTCATTGATTGAGTCCGGATGTGGTTATCTCTATTCTCTATGAAACTGTTGATGTTTTCTTCCATGGGATTTATGTTTTTTTCTTTTCGGATGGTCAAATTTGCATCATACGGGATATTAGGAATTTCGTGTATCGAGCTCGGGCATCCTTCAACTCCACCGCGAGAGGGGGGGACAGAAGGGGAGAGGAAGAAGAGAGCTGAGAAAGCGCTACCAGTTCATGTTTACATTTAGTCACTCCAGGCGGGAGTTGCGCGGAAGGCAACGTATCAAAGCGCAACAGGGTAATAACAATCGATACTCGCTTGGAAATAAAAATCACTATTCGATTTGTCATAACAGTTTCATCTCAACTTCGTGACACTTTGAAGTCAATGACAAGCACAACGGATAATACGCCGACGGCCAATACTAACCTAGAGATCGACAATAGTTCATGAAATATGCGAGATCTACAGTCGCTCAACTAGACAAATGACAGCTTCACACCCCCGGCTACGTAGATTTCCGAACTATAAGAGACTAGGAATATGCATCGCAAGCAAGGGAGGGCGGCAGTAACATGACATCTACGAATCATTCTAAGCCTCTTTCTCTCTCTCTCTCTCCTTGACGAACCCCTAGGGGGCTAACGGCTACCAACTTGGTCACGGCAAATTCCATTTTCACTGCCCTTCGCTCAACCCTTGACGATCTAGGTAATCTAACCTAGCTCGAACCCGCGGATTACGTAGCACGTCATTTTTCCTTGGTAATAAGTTTCATAGGTTTCCTAATATGATGTAGGTACCAAGGTAGGGTTGTAGTGTACGATGTACGCAGGAGAAAAAACAACGTGATCTATTCTCGTCGATCCTTTTCTTTTGGCCTTGCAGGGAACTTTTGCAGCGTTGCTGCTATTACTCAGCCCTGGGCAAGAGACGATGGGATCGATCGGTCCAGACCGGGGCTTTCCTTACTTGAACCTGCTTGGACTATGTGGGTTATGTATGGAGGTAGGTCGGGTAGGTTGGCATACACACACGAACGCAGATTGTGCATATGTAATATGTATGTAGGTGTATGTCATATGTAGGAATATGCGCGTGTGGATGTACTTCGTGGGTGCGCGCGTGGTTATGCGTGTACATTACTTACCTAATAGTATATGTGTGTGTATGTAGGTGTAATAGGACATATGTAGCAGCGTCGTATTCTACGCACCAACCTACATGCTGTACTTAAGGAACATGTGTATAACTGGCATACCTATCGTGGTGTCTGGATGTACGTATGGCACGCCTACCTCCCTCCCCCAACTTACCTACAGTACCCAATGTCATGCCTATCATACCTCGCGATCCAGGAGTTCGGATCCAACGGGACGGAAATGGAGTATGTAATAAACTGCAATAATACGCCCCATGTGCGGCGCACGTAGGTCCGGACCAGACGAACACGCAACGCAATTCCCACGAGGGGTTGGACCACACCCATCCCATCTTCTTACCTGCGTCCCGTAACCTTGCCTTGCTTTGCCCTGCTTTGCCTGCCTAGGTAGGCACGTATGTGCATATTCTTACCACCACCACCACCACCACTACGATCAGACAGACACACGCCCGCACATATAACGCATGGAAAAAAAACGCACGGCGATCTGACTCAGCCCTACATTACCAATGAAGGGGAACCGGCGCGTGGAGTTCCCACCTAGAACAGGTTACTTACTTACACCCATACCCATTTTGACGCACGAGAAGGAAGGGCAGCTGCAGGTTGACAGAGAGTTGCGGGCCGGGAGATTTTTTCCCCTTTCGGGCGACTTGCCTGAATGAAGTAAGCTTGGGTTGGCAGGTAAAGGGCAGGTCAATCAAGAAAAAACCCCCCGAGGCAAGGCTCCCAATACTTACTCCCGAGTCCGCGACGGTGGATCTGTATCCCTGTTACATACTACTGTACATAAACGCCTACTACATTTTGTCGAAATTTCGTCGTGCAGCTTTTCATCTTATTTTGACTTACTACCCTAGGTATTCTTGGTCATGTAATGCGGGTGAAAGGAAGGAATTCGTATGTAAGTAGGTAGGCAGTCAGGTAGGATATCAGGCTTACGATTTACGAAGGCAGACGTGGGTATAAGCAGGATATACGGGGTCAAATTTCGTATAGGGATTGTTAAGCTGGTTTGTCTGCTTGCTAAGACCTACGCAGTACCGTGACCACCGCCACTACCAGCACGATCTAAGTGGCTGAGAGTGAACTCGAGAGCAAAAACAAAACATAAACATAAACAAAACGAAATACTACGGTGCTTAAGGAGGTAAGATGCGAACTATGAGAGGGCCATCCCGAACGTGTCAGCGTCGCTTCCCTTCCCGAAAAGAACCGCACACACATTCACCCATAAAGTGACAGGTAACGAAATAGCGACCAACCGCTATACTCCATCTCACCCGCACATACTTATCACGCACAAATATACCGAGGACAGATCGGGTTTATGTGAGATGGCCCGAAGGCGAAAGGTGTGCGGATGTGATGGAAGACATACCTACCAACCTACCAACCAACCTCCATACCGAACTCCCTACCCTCCCTATGGTAGAAGGAAGTGTGTAGGTATGTAATATCGTGGGTAGCAGCGCCTAAGCTCAAGCACGGGGTACATTCGCAACACGTGGGATCACCGCGCTCTGGTTGGACAACCAACCCGAAAGAAAGACGGGCACGGCCACCTCCCTTCCCGCGCCCTTTTTTTGGGAGGGTGAAGGATGACGATGATGATGCCCGAGGATATGGTTTCACCGCCTCTTTTTCCCGCGGGGTTGGCGCATCTAGCTTGCGTTTTGGGGGCCGGGCCAGTCACGAAAAATCTGATAGATCTGCCTACATACGTACCTAGTGTGTAGGTACATATCTGCTGGTTCGTCGGTTATTACTACCATGTATGTATGTATGGTGGTGATCTCTTGCCTGGTTGGCGGGCCAGGCGGGCAGTCGGGTTGGGTTGGTAGGTAATAATATGGGATGTTATTGAGATGGGGCCCCAAGAGAAGCAGACTGTCAGACTGGCCAGGGGGGGTTCCGGGGGACTGACTGGCAAATCAGACTGGCACGCGTAGACCCGGACCATTCAGGCGGGATCGAGAGTCGATGGATCCCAGCCCGGGGTTTATTCTGATTTTCGAGAGGGCCTGTTTGGGGAGCTGAGATGAGATGGGAATCGATATTTTCGCGGTGGCTTGATAGGTCCCAGCTGTTGTCGATATATTTCGGTTAGCTCGTGGTAGTATCCCTTTCGTTATCACCGGTGTTATGATTACTTACTCCAGGTTTCTACAATGATACTCCGTAATGTTGTATCCAAATACACGGTAATCAAAGCACGTTTCTTTGGAACGGTGATACGATGTGACTATTATCGGGATCATCCGTGTGACGTATCGAATCCTTTTTCCAGTGAATAAACATTGATGTGAATAGGAAATGTTGTATTAGCAAACTAGGCACTTATTATGAAGATAAGTATACGGCCAATTAGGTAGGGGGCATATAATGCTACGTAGGTAAGTCACGTAGGTAGTTTATCACGAAGTAAATTAATATGACCGTGAAGAGTTTTACTTAGTCCGTCCGCCTTTCGGGTATGTTAATGATCTAAGAATATAACGTACCGGTACGGCGGAAAGCTAGGCGTTGTAAATCTATTTCCATACCAATTAGTATCAATAAGCCTTTGTCAATATCCTCACAGCCATGCCATATATTTGACCGAGTCAAATATAATAATAATATTGCGAACCCAACATATCTAATACAAACGTTCGTATTACAAGCAGTCACCTATCAAACAAATGACTATTATATTCTACTAACTGTCTAAAATTACCTCCAGTAACACAAGTATCAGTGTTCCTATGTAAATCCTCCGGAAGCTCTGCCTCTCTAAAGCCATCTACTTAGCGTCATATAGATGCCCTATTTCAGCAGTACCAGAGCTACTACTAGAATTGTATAGATGAATATTAATACAGACTCTGTCTTTGGAATTTAGTTGATTGTTATTACAACCGTCACCATAATGGACGAGTATCCGTGAGAGGGGGTGGATAGAGAACCCCTATTTCCCCTTAAAAATTGACATCCAGGCAATCACTATAATAAACTACCAGCACAAATGCAGAGGCACAATTACTCGCTTCACTTTGGGAAGTAAATATCAAATTAGGAACAAGAATATTAACACATGCCCAATTACCTGAATATATAAGGGGTTATAAAACAAAAGCTTAGACGCGGCCTCCTTAAACCATCTCACAATACCAATACCACTCAACACTCAATATTCACTTAGCACTAGGTACCATTTCGTAGCCATGACAAATATATTCATTGTCAACCTAAACCGGCTATATTTTGTGTTCTGTATTTATAGAATCATCCGAATCATAGCGACCACAATCTGTCTCTCCATAAATAGACACCTCTAGACGAGGTGTAAAGAAAGAAAATATACGGATATCGTAGGTATCCTTATGTCGCGCGATTAGGGGCGCTGTTGTGACCGAATCGTATCATCGCCACAAATCCCAGAGTAGACTTTCCTTAGGCTCAAAAGAATGAACGTAAATCCCACCATCCCACCATCTCATCATCACCTCATAATTCCTCACGTACCTTGCCGTAGAAGCAAAATCGCACACCAGCAGAATAGAGTATATCCTCAACCCCTAAACCCTAGCCCACCTTAGACTAACAGCAACAACAATAACAGGCAACACGCTAACCAGCTCGCCGAGCCCGGCAAACTCAGGCGGGATCCTCACGTCGCCCTCCTCTTTACCCTTCCCGGCGTTCGCGAACGCGCCGGCGGCCAGCAGGATCGCGAACACGTTATACACGGCGCTCCAACCAAAATTGAACGCGACGCGGCGGACGGCGGCGCGCGAGACGTCGATCATGGCCAGCACGCCCGCGAGGTCGGCGCGCATGAGCACGACGTCGGCGGCGGACTGCGCCACGTCCGAGACGCCCGAGTTGACGTGGACGCCGATCGTGGCTTGGGCCAGGGCCACGGCGTCGTTGGTGCCGTCGCCTACGAAGACGACTACGGGCTGCTTCTGCTTTTTCTTGTCGTTGTCGCAGCTATCCTTGCTACCCGTTCCTAGGAGTTTCTGGATGTAGGCTTGCTTGTCGGCGGGCGAGCATCTCGAAATTGCGTTCTCCTTGGGAATCCCCAGGCTAGCAGCTACGGTTTCGACGGTCCTGTCATCATCACCGCTTAGTATTGAGACGGCGATGTTTCGCTTCTGCAGCTCCGAAATAGTTAGGAGTACGTCCGGGCGGATGGTGTCGGTTAACCCGAAGACGGCTTGGAGTTCTGAATTGATCGTGACGCAGAAAGTACTGAAGTCTTTCGAGCGTGTGTCTTGTACAAGAGGGTGGGACTCAAGGTCAAGCCAGTGAGGATTGCCGGCTTGAATGGAAACTCCATCAATCTTTCCTTGGACCCCTTTACCTGGCAGAGACTGAATATCGTCCACTTTACCAGCATGAATACCCTGGTTCTTCAAGTGAGCTGCAACGGCAGAAGCTACAGGGTGGTTAATACTAGCCAATAGACCTAAAATTTTCGGAGCTACAACTTGTCGAGTTTCTAACGGATACTCTTCAGTGGCCGCAAAGAGCTTTCCGTGCGTTAGCGTGCCAGTCTTGTCAAACACGATATGTGTAGTTTTGTGGGCTACTTCCACGGCCTCGCTCGTCTTAAAGATCAAACCTTTCTCTGCTGCAACGCCACAGGCAATTACAATAACCATAGGAACCGCTAACCCTATAGCGCACGGACAGGAGACTATAAGAACGGTGATTGCGTATGTTATCGCCTGTACGACAGCATCATTCGCTGATTTTCCCTGGTTGCGAATTCCCACGCCTACCCAGGCAACAAATACGATGAGAGTCAGGGAGATGATAACCGGGACGAAATATGATGCGACCCGGTCAGCAAGGTCTTGGATCTTAGGCTTAGAGAGTTTAGCATCATCGACCATTCCCGCGATGGTACTAATGGTATTCTCCCCAGGTAACTTGGTGAGGCGCGCGGTGATAGTACCGGAGCCATTAAGAGATCCAGCAATGATGGTGCTGCCTCGTCTTTTCTCCACCGGGCGCGATTCACCTGTCAACATAGATTCGTCTGTTTCTGTTATCCCAGAAAGTATGACACCATCTGTGGGAACCTGTGCATGAGGAGCAACTTTGAAAACGTCGCCATACTGGAGCAGCCTAGTATCAATATCGGTCTCGGTACCGTCACTGGACACCAAAGTGGCCGTAGATGCTTGTAGAGTACGGATGGAGATAGATTCCACGGCCTTCTGGCGAGCAAGGGCACTGACCCACCGGCCAACCATGATCAAAGTGACCAACAAGGTACTCGTTTCAAAGAAATTACCTGTCGAAAGAGGTCGACCGCTTACTTGATAACCGAACGAAACTACCGAAAACACGTATGCCGCAGTGGTACTCAAGACAATAAGCAGGTCCATCTCAACGACCCTAGAAAACACTAAGCTCTTCAAAGCCTTGGGGTAAAATGGACCTGCAATAACGACTTGAACGATTGTGGCCAAGGCTAGAGACACGCTGCCGTATATGACTGGACGCTCTTTCAATGGAGCCCAAGCAAGCACCAGAACAGGCACGGTTAGAACTGCCGAGAGCAAGGTCATCCAGCCCATGTGTCTTACATGTTTGCTTCCTGCAGCAAGAGATGGGTCAACCTGTGGAGGTGCAAGACTTGGAGGAGCTCCAAACCCGTTATTGATAAGGTCCTGAGCCCCAATGACTTCCGGGTCGAAAGTGATGCGGACAGTTTGATCATCGATAATATCCATGTTTTCTACTCCCAGAGGCAAAGACTGCTGGACGAATTCTTTAGCGCCCCCATGAGGGATAACGTCAAGTGTCGACCCATGGGTTACAATTCTCTCGCACTTGAACTCAGTTGTTCTTTCAATGTGCTTCATGACATCTTCCGGTGTAGCCAGACTAAGGTCTAGCTGAAACTGAACCCTAGCCATGACCAAGCTTGTCTTGAGGTTATTCAAAGCCTTAACTTCGCTCAATGTTCGCCGAAGTTTGGTCTCGCAGCCCGTGCAAGTCATGCCCGAAATGCCGAGTACGACATTCTCGGAACCAGAAAGGCCTTTCTCGAGACTGGTGATTCTAATTTCTTCGTTTCCTTTCTTGTCGACTGCAATATCCACGTTTTGCTGACAATTATTTCTCATAGCGACTGGGCCTCCAGAGCAACAGTCACTTTCTACGGGTGTGATACTGGAACTCTCCTTTGTTCCACCACAACAACCCTTCTTACAGGACTTGCTACGTTGGGAGCCAGAAGGCGAAGGCTTTCGCTCCGGTGGCTTTGAACAGCAACCAGCCGGTTTCGAGCTGCAGGCCGAGGCAATTTTCTCCTGAGATCGTCGTCGGACACTTCTCTTGGGCCCACGCTTCCTTTCCTCTGAGGAAAGTTCAGAAGTTGCACAGCATGACTCCTGACCTAAAGCGACAAGCGCTCGGCACAGGCATCCTAAGGCAGCAAGTCTAGTCTCATATCTCTCGCGGATGGACTTGGCCTTGGACGATGACGGACCCTGGTCAGAGTTGATCGTTGAATCATCGTCTAAGAGAAATCAGCATGGCTCGCTCGAACATGACTACGGAGATAATTACCTTGCTTTTCGAAAGCAGTCTCTCGGAGCACGAGTCGGTCAATGCAAGTTGCTTCGTCTGTTAGTATTCTTTACTTATTCTTTGCTCTCCACTGGTCAAGCATAGTACCAAAGGACTTACAATCACAGCATGGCTTCTGTTTACCCTCGCAACAAGATGGCTCAATCTCGTCAGGCTTTACAGAAGAGCAGCATGCATCTTTGCAGCTATCATCATCGCGTGGAACCTCCTTCGACGGGCTACAGCAATCATCTTTGACTTCTTCCTTGGTGTCACAGCAACTATCCTTGCAACAATCGTCGACGATGGACTCCGCAGGTTCGCAGCAACTGTCCTTGTCATCTTTCTCGTTCTTGGGTCCGCAGCATCCACCTGAGCAAGCGGGGGCTGTGATTGAGCTTGCTGGTTGACAACAGGTATCGACGGCGCTCGGCTTTTCCTTAGGCTTGCAGCATGCATCCTTGCATCCTGAGTTTTCAATTGGCTTGGCGGGCTTGCAACAATCGTCGTCGGATTGACAGCCGCCGTCCTCGACAGGTGGCTTGCAGCAGTCGTCCTCTTCAACAACCTCTGAGGCTTTGTCACTGGCGCAGCAACCCGAATTGCAGCAGTCGTCCTCCTTCTGGATTTCAGGTTCAGGTTCGGGTTCAAGTTTAGGTTGAGGAGGGGAACAGCAACCGGACTTGCATCCGCCTTTTCCCTTTGGTTCGCTCATTGTTTTCACCTTCCTATTGACGACGTGATTGACGATATGAAGAAAGCTTAATGTCTTTTTAGGATTTGTGAAAGAAGGGAACAATTTGAGAAACACGGCCTACAAATATTTCCGCGGAAGGTACAAAACATCCGATTGTTGCCGCCGTGTTCGGCCGTGTCGAGGGGTAGGTGCCACCGGCGAACGGTTATCTGTTTCATGTACCTACCGGAGGACCCCTTTTACTGTTGAATGTGGCAATGACGGGGTGGAAAGCATGTGCTTGCTTGGCATAAATATGTGTAAGTATAACTTAATAATCGGTGTAAGGGTATACCATGATTGCTACCGTCCGAGATCGGCTGTTTGCAGCTGCCAGCTGCCAACAATATAATCAGACACATCTATAACTTTCAGATAAGTGAAAATAAGACATCCTACACAAGAATCACCTTTGGCATACTAGTTGCAAAAATAACCCTTGAGCGTGAATTTACAGTCAACAGCTCCTACGTACTAGAATAATTCTTTGTGATGCCTCCGAAACTTAGGCACGAATAACGAGGTAGGTGAATTTTATAGAGCAACAAGGAAGCAATTTCATATAACATTTTGAGTCACGATTTGATTTGATTTATGTAAGGAGATTTATAAAATTCGATTTCACTTATATGAACAAGATTTCTGCAAATGTAGCATATGAGTAGTAATAGGGAGGATAGGTTCTGGCTACTCATGAAGTATCATAGATGTCCACACATCAATATCACGTCCATAATTCATATCACGAAGCCATCAAAGCTCTTATCGAAGTGTGTAATTTTCACCCTACAAAACCACACAGCACAACACCCAACAATACGTGAAATGTGGTATATTCATGTAGTCCATCTCTATGCCTCAAAAGAAATGAAGCAATGTACGTCATCTGTTTTCCCTATTCCATAACTCCTAAACCACAAAGCCGTAAAGCCACCCAGAAGAGATCACCAGCGCAGTCCATCTTCATAGCCTTCATAGAAAATCACTGCACCATCTCATCCCCCTCCTTAACCTCATGATCGCCCCACAACCCCTCAATCTTAAACTCCTTAGCCCACTCCGTCACAATCTCCTTCTGATCCGCCATCGCTCCCATCGCACCCGCATCCCCAGCAGCAGCAGCAGCAGCAGCGCTGATCTCCGTCGCGACCGGCAAAACCGGCGCGTCGACCCAGCCCTGGATCCTGCCGTCCCTCCAATCCGTCACCACCGTCATCGCCGCGGCGTTCAGATTCGGGACACCCCCCTTGCCCAGCCTGCCCCTCTTCCGCGCGACCTGGACCAAGAAATCCGTCGTCTCGTCGCCGTTCGAGCTTATCAGCGGCGGGAGATCGTACACGTCCATCAATTTCTGGAGGAGTACCGGCGACGCCGACAGCCTCTTAAGGAGCAGCGATACGGCCGGCATCGGGTCGTCGATTTGCTTAGGCGGGATAGCGTTCAGGAGCACGAGGTGCGCGTGCGCCTCCACGGCATTCTTCTTAGACGACGACGATGACGAAGACGACTCGCCTTCCTGCGCTGAGGGGAACACAATACCGGGGGAGTCGAGCAGTGTCAGTTTGCTGTCAATCTTGACAGCGCGGATGCTCGTCGTGACGCCCGCCTCGGCGCCCGCGGGGCAAGCAGCCGCGCCTCGACCTCCCATGCGCGAGAGAAGCGCGTTAATAACGGACGATTTTCCGACGTTGGGGTAGCCGATGACGCCGACTGATATGGCGCGCTTGAGCTGCTTGGAGGCGGCGAAGGATTTCAGGGATTTGAAGAGCGCGGACGAAGTGCTCTGGACGGTAAGATCGCGGTGATTGAAAGTCTGCGCATTAGGGGCAGAGCCGGAGGCGCGCAAGGGGAGTGTAGGGAAGTATCGCCGTAGGTATGTGAGCCAGTCCTTAAGCACGTTCGACGGGACTAGGTCGATCTTGTTGAGGACGAGCATTAATCGCTTGCCGCCACTTGCCGCGGCCATCACCATGCGTTCTACTTCTCTGGACCTTGTTCCTTCGGGATCTCTGGCGTCTAGAACGTAAAGTACTACATCGGCTTGGTCGACGACTTGCTTGAAAACCTTATCGTGAGCTTTCCGCGACGAGGCCTGAGCGCGCAGCTCGGCGGTTCCGTCTTCGTAGTCGGCCTCGTCATCTGACGACTCGTCTTCGTCCATCTCGTCTCCGCTTTGTAGTTCGCGATCGTACTTCTCGGCGGCGGCTCTGGCGCTCGCAAGGAGCGCAGCCATAGGGTTTGAATCATCGTCCACACCATCCTCATCCATAGCCTCGTCCTCGAAGCCGCTGAACCCATCTTCTTCCGCACCCTCCATAATCGTCTCATCGTTCTCAGCCTCATCCGCAGCACCAGTCTTCGCAGCCTTGGCTAATTCTCTCCGTCGCTGCAGTTCCTCTTGTTTCCTTCGTCGCCCCTCCTCGATCTCATGAAGAATCTTCTCTTTGTAAGGGAACAAGTTTGGGATACCGGGGTCCTTCTTTAATTTGGACTTCCATTGTGGGTTTTTCTTCGCTTCCTTTCTAGCTTTGCGCTGCTTCGAGGCGGATGCCTTTTCGATCTTATGCCGTAACCGAACGGGTGTCCGCTTCGACTTGGCTTCTATACAATGCGTCAGTTAGTCAATTGGCCCTGATCATACAATTATCTCATTACACGATAACGTACTCTTTGGTTTTGTAATGTGGTTGGCCATTTTTACTTGCCGTGCCCAGCAATTATTACTTGGGTACTTGAAAATGTTGCGATAATGTTATCAGCACAAAAAGTTTCCAAAATTTAGTGGGAAAGGTGATTCTGCCACAATTCACCGCCACCGTTTTCCCAGATAAAAAATAACCCCACTAGATCTTCCATACCGATTGGCCAACCCCGCCTGCCGATAAGAATCCACTGAAAGACGCCTAAAAATCGGACCTTTTCAGCGGTCATTCCGGCCTCACGATGGCTTCAGTTTCTGTCACGAGCTTACGAACTTAAAGATACGGGACCGCAAGGGCGGAGTTTCCTAATTCGGCTTGGCCATTATTTGCCTCAACACCTTAGACGAAGTCCTATAGGCTTCTTATTTAAGAGATTCCGACTTCACTTTTATACGGCTTTTGTGTAGATTTTATATCATAGAATTTCAATTCATTCGTTGTACATGTTAATATTTTCTAAATCGAGGCTTATTTTCCACTTTCAATTCAAAGTCATTATTTAGTATTAACTAACAGCGACGGCACAACTCAAAATGGATTTCATAGCTCCGCCTTTTGAGGTCACCTTCAAAGCCCTCTTATTCGACATGGATGGCACCATCATAGACTCCACCGCCGCAGTTGTGAAGCACTGGCACACGTGAGTTCCCCTCTTAGATTCCAGTCCACACAGACTCTAAACCAAGGGTGCAGCATCGGAAAGGAAATCGGCGTTGACCCCGAGGTGATCCTGCAGACGTCTCACGGCCGACGGAGCATAGACATGCTCAAGATCCTCAGTCCGGAGAAGGCGAATTGGGAATGTGAGTTTAGACTATGTCCATATCTAACTCCCCAACCTCCAAGGGAGTCTGAGTCTGCCCTAAGATGGTTGAGTAGCGCAGTTTCGGCCAAATTCACCTCATTCCCTGTTCCCCTGACGCAAACCCGCCCCCTTACACCGGCACTTCTCCATACCTCACTCCCTTGCTCCGTTCCTGACTTTGTCCCTGATCTTGATTCTGTTCCTGAACCTCATCCTGTTCCTGGCGCTGTTTTACTCCGCGGCAACATCTACACTCACCCCCTAAGCCATCCATCTCACCTCACCTTCCCTCCCTAAGTGCCTAACTAGGCAGTTAACCATGATCCAGACGTACGCCACATGGAAGCCCTCCTCCCCCGCCTCCACGGCTCCGACGCCGTCGAGATCCCCGGCGCCCGCCCACTCCTAGACTCCCTCATCGCCTCCTCCGCGCGCTGGACCATCGTGACCTCGGGCACAGAGCCGCTCGTCCACGGCTGGCTCTCCGTGCTCAACCTCCCGCAACCAGAACACCTAGTCACAGCCGAGAGCGTCGCGAACGGCAAGCCGGACCCGGCGTGCTACCTCCTCGGGCTCTCGAAGCTGGGACTCGCGCCCGCGGACGATGGTGCGCAGACGCTAGTGCTGGAGGACAGCCCCGCGGGCATCCGCGCCGGAAAGGCCGCCGGGTGCCGGGTCCTCGGGCTCGTGACGAGCCACGGCGCCGACGCGGTGCGGGACGCCGGGCCGGACTGGGTCGTGCGCGATCTGCGCTCCGTGAGCCTCGTCCGCGTCGACGAGGCCGCGGGCACCGTGACCCTAAGGTTCGCGGACGCGCTGGCTCCGGTGGCTGCGAATGGGGGCGAGAGTACCTAGACTTAGGGCAATGGGAGGTGGAGATGGGAGATGGGAGATGAAGAAAAAAAAATGGGAAGAAGTTGTTGTTGTTGAGAAATGAAGGGGATCGATAGTCAGAGAACATGACACACGACCAACCCTCTGATCTCCAACAACTTCCAACTTTTTGTTTGAATCAAATCCCCAACGAAGTTAACCGAAGTGACGGACGCAACGGCAACATTCGACGTCGTAGCACGCCAAGACGTATTGTCGTGAACGGACGGAACCAACATCATGGATTATCCCCTGGGAACTTTTTTTGCCTCTTTCCGTCTTTGGCACGGGGGCTCGGCAAGACCCCATCGTCACGCATAGCCCATCATACATAACACTCGTAATATAGAGGCACAGGTCACAGTCACATATAGGTCTGGCTTCATCGGCATATAGACAGGGTACATCGGGCACCACATCCAGGCACCGAGGGCGATTTACGGAAGGCGCCTGCACGGGCTTGCACGGGAAAAAGGCTTATCTTCTTTTTTTTTTCGATAGACGCATCACTATAGAATTATCCCCATCGCGAATAGATACATGCATACATACCCATACCTACCTACTTACAACAGTAGGTAAGTAAATAAAAGAAAACTCTTGGCACCAAGAGAACCCTGATTATCTAAACGAAAGCAAAGCCCCAACCAATCCCGCGCATCTGACTGGCCGCCGGCGAGATTTCGTGACTCGGCAAGTAATTTGCGAGGCATGCAGGAAGGAAAAAAGGAATTAAACATCTACGCTATCTGGCCTTAGTTCGGTATGTACGGCACTTGCTTGCTGTGGGCTGGCAAGGCTGGCTGGCGCAAAAAACCAGCGATCCCGTCGCTGGAGGGAGCCAAATCCACTATGTCGTATTTTGTAGCGTTCCCAATCCGTACTTTGGAACCTCTCCCCTATGTCCCAAAAGTGACGTGAAAAAGGAAAGAAGAAAAGGTGATACTATGTAGGTACATACATACCTGCGTTATCCATGTTACGGTATTTGGGTATGTAGTGTAGAGCCAAGCCGCAGCGCCCAGGCGCCAATCCCCCCGTCTTGGCGCGGTGGATGCGTTAATGACGATCACCAGAACTATCGGAACTTCGCAGCTGGGAGGCACCACACTTTGGCTTTTCCTCTTGCTCTACACTACCCTAAACCGAACCGCCCTAGTCCCCGCTCCAGACATCCTTCCTGTACCTAGCATGTACCTATCAAAACCGCCTCTCTCTTCGCTGCGGTAGGTTATGATGATGTAGTGTGGGAAAATCTGCGAATACATGACCTGTCTAACCTACGTATGTACATAGCGTGCAGCTATGTCATATGAGAAGGAGGCTGCGCGACACGACACGATACCACACTCAACACACGAAAGGCTCCGGCTCCTTCGCGATAGCATAGCGTAGCGGAGAAAACCCCCTAAAAAAAACAGTCGTCGAACCCCCTAAAATCGAGAGGAGGTACATTATTACGACGGGCAAATCCTTTTCGGATTTAGATCGAAGCCTCGGACGGGACGGGTATCTATCTATCCATCTGATCAATGGGATGTGTATTTCTCAATAGTCTCTCTCTGTCTCTCCCCTTGTTTTCCCCCCCACGGCAACGGGGTAGGTAGGCGGGTAACGGAGCAAGTAAGTTGATGACGAGCATATACTACCCGTCACAATAAAATGAAAAACACAAAAAAAACCCAGAGTCCGCAAGCGATGCGAGACATACCCATATTATCCCGTAGAGAGCCATACCAAAACTGAAGCAGGTAGTGAACAGTACCGACCTACAGCCTACTGACTGATCTCCCAGCCCGTCTGTCTCTTAGCGTAGTGAAGCCCGTCCTGCCGGCCGTGCCGTTGTCAGACATCCCCATCTGCGATCTCGCACAAGAAGCCGAGATCACAAAGTTTAGCTACATCCCCCTAGCTGTACCCGTCTACCTGTCTACCTACCTACCTACCTACCTACCTACCTACCTATCTAGGTAGGCAGTCAAGTAAACAGATCTAGATACCGTAAACCCTTAGCGGAGAAAAAAAAAAAAAAACAAAAAAAGTGACGGAATCCGCCATGGAGATTTCCATCTCTACCTATCTCATATCTCAGTTACCAAGCCAAGCGCATCGTACATACGCTATCTAACCCGGGGGCATATATCTAATAGTATCTATCTCACCTAGGTCTATTCGCTAGACCGCTTCCAGCAACAACCCTAACACCCAAAGGGCATCAAATTCGCAAGCTCCTTGTCAAAGAAAGAAAGAAAAAAAACGCTATTGGCTAACATCGAACATATTCCCAAATGCCGCCTCGGGCCGTCTGGGATTCGTCGATCATCACCGGGTGGGCGAATTGTCTAGAACAGCCTCTTTTCTCGTAGCTGCGTATGTAGCAGCACAGGCTGCATAACGCCCTTAGGTACACCGCGATATACGTGCCGTAGGGGTAGTTGGGGCCCAAGACGAAGAGGCCTCGTCCGCGGGGGATGGGGGATGGGGGAAGAGAGATCGCCCGTGGCGTCCGCCTCCCTCCAACGGCGGAGGGAACCCCGTCCACCCAGTCCATCTGCACTAAGCACGGCAGTGGGAACTTCCAGCTACGAACCTGTCGAATGGGATTTGGTTATACGCACACATACATACACGTAACATACCTACTACTTACCTCTATACCTCCAAGCCTACATACCCGGGCAATCCATGGATGTCCTAGCACTCCAGCCCAGAGGGAAAAGGCAGGCGGAGACTCCCTTACGTCCGTTCCGCCGAGATCTCTCATCCATTCCCTCAGACCCTGTGATGACGACCCGAGACCTAGCTCGCGTACGTGGTTTACGCCTGCTTCCGGAATAGGCGTTCAACGAGAAGGATCAGGTAGGCAGGCAGGTAGGTAGGTAGGTAGCTTCCATACACTCTCTCTACCTCAACTGCGAGCTCAGCTGAATATGGGACAACCATGACCCAAAACTGGGGTGGCTTACCCGTGGGTCTCGGCTACGAATCAGGATCGCAATTTACGCCGAAGTGAGCGCCCTCGCCCCCCCTCCTAGGAGGCCACTAAAGAAACACACAAATCTTGTGGCACCTTCGGCGGGATCACGAGCTTTTGTGTATGTGTAAAGTCCATTACATATTCCCAAGGCCATGGATACGGGGCCATGAACCCTTGCCCGCCGTTAAACACGATATGCCGGGCCCGGATTATCTGTAGGTATCAGGCGTAGGCAGGCATCTGTAGGTAAACTTTTTTTTTGCGCGGGACGGACGGCAGACGACATGCTGCTTACGTACCCCAGGTCGTTCGCGATGTGGCCTTCATGGAGAAAAATAGAGAAACAAAAAGACCTGCAAGGACCCGATCGATGACATAGACTTGCCACGTACGATGCACATTTAAGCAACGTCGGGTTCTCGTAGTGCTTCGTTCGGATGAACGATCTCTCCAAGACATGCAGCGGTTTCCCTTGTGGATAGTGAGCACAGCATCGCCAGTTGCAGATGGTGCCAAGAGATGGGTGTTGCCAAGAAAGGATCTTCGCAGTTGTCAATTTGCGCTGGTCGCCGACCTGAGTAACAATGACAGTTGGCGAAAGCCCGATGTGGTAGCTGTGCGAATGCGTGACCTTATGCACGGCCCAGACCACCAGGAAAAGATCGGCTTTTGCTAGGTCGAGACGCGGGGGAGCCAACGAGAACACAGAGTGTGTGTCGGTGCTTGTCGGTGCTATCGTACTGGAGATAGACATCTGCGTCGACAATTGGCTCCCTTCACCGTCACCTACATAGTACAGCTAGAGTCGAATACCTAGGTAGGTAGCGGCTCAATTCCGAACTTGACCTAGAGGAATCTTAGATGAGTGGTCACTAAGGTAGAGGTAACTTCCGCTAACCCCAGTTGAGACGAAAAAAAAAGAGAAAGAAGCCAAGCTTTTTCCGCGGAAGAGGGAGCGGTTGGTGCACGGTGTCTCTGGGGGTTAGGGGAGATAATACAAAAGTAATGAGCCGTCGTCGTGATTTCGTGATTAGGATACCCATTCCACAACTTGGAATGGTGCAGATGAAAAAAAGTAAACGACCTCCATTTTTACTTAATCAAGAGACGGCTTTTCCCAGTTTTCTGTACCTAGAGTTATAAGCCCCCTATTAAGCTAACAGAGCCATTAAACCCCAAGATTCGCTGCGCCTTGCGGCGACGGTGACACAGTACCACTACCCTACTGCAGGAACGAGGTGCTAATAAAAGAAAAGAAAATGCCACGTTAAAAGATAATTAAGAAAAAGCAGTAATTAAATTGAAAATGCAGGTTTTGGCATTGGGGAAAGGGAAAGGGGGGGTTGGAGAAACGCTGACTTTGATGTGTTAGGTGCTTAAGTGTAACAGTTTCTTCCCAAGTGGAGTGTGGACTGATAGAAATGACATCTCACCAAGCGAGCTCGCGCCAACGCCAACGCCAATGCCGGCGAGATTTGGTCGTGAGGCATCTGACGCCGCTTCATTTTTTGAACCCACTAACTACGGCGCAAGCGTCGGGCTTCCTCGGGAAGAAAGAAAGAAAAAAACATGACCAGTGCGGCGGCCTCTGTCACGGAATCGAATCTTGCCGGTTCTTGAACGGTCAAGAGCCCCGGACTCAGTAGCAGTAGCAGTTAAGCCAGCGGCAGCGCCAGAGCCTTGGTTGGCGCCTGAAACAAGTCCAGCAGCTCACTAGTTCCCGCTGTTGGATTGGTTTGACGATCGATTCGTCATTCTAAACGCTTGTAACAAATACATCTTTCGCAACTCCGACTTCTCATGTACGCACACCGCCAGAGTATTTTAGTCGTATGTAACTGCGGTTGCGATGAGAAGAGATCAGCGCGTACCATAGTTTAGCATTGCTTGGAGTTGATCGCAAGTTAGAGTCCACAGTTGCTGCGGGCATGCGGCCTCGTGCTCGGGCCCGTTAGGATAGAAAAAAACCCCACGCTTTTTTCCATGTAGGTAGGCGGCTAAAGCGGAGCTGAGTTATGATATTATAGAGGATGTGGCGGCGGCGGTTGCTTGGTAAGTTCCTCGACCGGTACGACCTCAACTAAAATATTAC